GCATCGATGGAACAAGCGAAAATCATGCAACACTGTTTAAATAATTATTGTGAAGCATCAGGAAGCAAAGTTAGTGTTGATAAGTCAAGAATATACTTCTCGACTAACACTAATTTAGATACGAGGGGTGCTATTTGTGGTTGTCTTGGGATGGAGATGACAGAGGATTTTGGGAAGTATTTAGGAGTGCCAACAATTAATGGGCGTACTTCTAAAAAAGAATATCAGTACTTGGTTGAGAGGGTTAATTCAAAATTGGTTGGTTGGAAAATTAAAACTCTCTCGATTGCTGGAAAGGCCACACTAGTTCAATCCACTCTCAACACCATCCCTGCATATACTATTCAAACGGTGCGGCTGCCTAGATCTACTTGCGATGACTTAGATAGGAAGAACTGAAGCTTTTTATGGCGAAAAGTGTCGTGTTCATTTAGTGGCTTGGGATAAAATCACTAAGCCTAAGGAAAAAGGGAGCTTAGGTTTTACTTCAATGCGTGAGGCTAATAAAGCATTTCTAGCGAAGCTCGGTTCGTTTGCATTTGCTTGCTGAGCCTAATGCTATCTAATCACGCATTGTTCGGGCCAAATATTGTGACAATCGATGTGATTTGGATATATTTCGAGACAAGGCTAATGCTTCGAGCACATGGAAGGGCATTATGAGTAGCATCGACATTGTTAGAAAAGGAGTGAATGTAGCTATGGGGAATGGTTCGAAAACCTTTTTCTGGCACCACAGATGGGCTACCAAGCACCCTCTGCTCTTTTATACTTCCAACGAGCCCCCCCCCCCCCCCCCCCCTCTTCGATACAAGACGCAACCGTACGTGCAGGAAATGTGGGATAATGCAATGGGATGGAAACTTGCATTATTTGCTGACTTTCTGCCAGCACAAGTGTTAAGTGAGATAGTAGCTCATAGTGTGTTAGAGGATGAAGATGCGATCGATGAGATATACTGGAATGGTTCTCCTACGGGAGGTTTCACCATAAAGTCTTCAATTGATATTGCACGAGAAGAAGATGCCGCAAGATTAGAGAAGGCACGGGGATGGCGTTTGATTTGGAAAATGAAGATGCCGCAACGGATTCGATTTTTCTTCTGGCTAGCTGTTCAAGATAAGCTTATGACGAACAAGAACCGATTTATCCGCAAATTGACAGATGACCCTAGGTGTGCGGTGAGGAAGAAGAATCAACCGAGCATATCATTCACAAGTGCCCTGCTGCGAGGTTAGTTTGGAAAAAAATTTAGTGTTATGCATAATAGGTTTATTAATTCGAGCACCTTTTTTGACTGGATGTTGGATAATGGAGATGTTGAGCACTTGGAAAGTTGTGATGAGTGGCCAAGGGTTTTTTCCGTGACATGTTGGTGGTTGTGGAGGTGGAGGAACGAGAGAAGTTTTAACTGTCATCCTCAAATTCTGATTGCCAAGCAGGGTTTATTTTTGCTAGAGTTGGGCTGATAAACCAAGCAATGGAGAAAGACTTCTTGCTGGAACAACAGGGGGGAAAAGAAAACGTGAGTAGGTCTATATTGGCTGGAGGAAACCGGATGTTGGGTGGGTGAGCTTGAATACTGACGGCACAGCCAAAGGCAACCCAGGTTTGGCAGGGGCAGGGAGTTTAATCCGTGGCTACAATGGGGAGTTGTTTGAATGTTTTGCGATGAAGTGTGGGGTGTGTACATGTACAAGGGCAGAATTAATTATTAGCTGTGATGAAAGGCCTGATAATAGCATGGGACGAAGGACATTGCAAGATCAAACTTATGGTGGACTCGGAGGTTGTTGTTCAAATGTTGGTTGGAGTTACTCCGACTAACTCTCCACTTATTCATATTATCTGCAAATGTAAGGCTCTCATCTCTCGCAGAGATTGGGAGGTCGTTGTAACTCATTGCTATAGAGAGGCAAACCGTGCAGCTGACTGGTTGGCTAACTATGGCGTGACAGCGGAGCAAAAGTGTGTGATTTTTGAGGTGATCGATCCCGAAGAATCTCCATGCCGTTTTATTGGAGGACCTAAGTGGGGTGGCTTGGCCAAGACCTGTGCCGAGGGATCGAGGTAGTGGAGTGTAGTTTGGCTACGGTTTAGACTTGCTGTGTGTTTTTATTTCTGTTTTGTTTTCTTTCTTTTAGTTTGTTGTTTTTGGTGTGTTTTGTTTAGGGGCTTTGCCCCTCTCGTTCACCCAAAAAAAAAAAAAAAATAATTGTAGAAGTGTTCTCTGTAATCTATACTTATAACTCTTATGTATAATACGAAGTATGTTGTAACACTTGTAAGTTGTCTTCAATGGTGAAGGCCTAAAGGGTGGGAAAGTTTGTCCCACATAAAAAGCAAAGGATGCTTTTAATGACTTAATTTATAACTCATTATGTGCTTAGTGTATTGAAATATTTGGGCCTACAATATCGGGCTTGACTATGCTAGTGTATGAGTTATAGTTGAGCATATCAAAAAAAAAAAAAAAAAAAAAAAAAAAAAAAAAAAAAAAAACCCTTGAAAATGAATACATATAGCCAAAATTTGCTACAAAGAAACTACTTGTAAAAAATAATTTAAGTTCAAGGGAGAAGAGAGTGAATGACAATGTAGAGATGATATAAATCAATAATAAAGTTATAGGGGCCAGCTAACACTTTAATGAAGAAAAAAAAAATTAATATGAAAATAGTTTAATATTTTAATTGTATGAAAAAAAATATTCATTAATTTTTTTTCCCATGAATTCTACTAAAATATGTATTTGTTAGAAAATTTTCTACGAAATCTCCTACATATCATGTCAAAATAATAACATATATATCAATTTTGATGATATACAAATACTAATATTCTTCTTGCATATATACAATGCCTAGTTTTATTAAGATACACTTCATAATATTTTTCATTAACCATCCATAAATCATTTTAAGCCTTTGTAAACATTAAAAAGAAAATTAAATACGAAGTATTAATAAATTGAGATGAATCTAAAAAGATCATACTTAATTATATTTTATCTTATTTATAGATAGCAAACGAAAATTAATTAGCTTAGGGGAATAAGGAAAAAAAATTAAATGGATCATCTAAAAATAAAAGATTAGCAATGAGTAACCTAATGCATGCTAGCATTTAACATTATAAAGAAGAATTTTTAAAATAATTTTTAAAAAATTGAGAAAAGAAAAGATAAATTACCGATTGAGTAGTGAAACAAATTAAATCAACAATGACGAAGCCCATCAATAATGGGGATTTTAAAAAAAAATAAAAATAGTATTAGACTTTGTTGCCAAGGGGGCTTGATCCTATGATCAAAAATCCCTAACAATGGGCTTCAAACCACTGTGGCTGACATAAGATACAATTAAATGTGTAATAAGAATAGTATTTAGACTAAAAATATCTAGAGGCCAGCAATAAAACTACTAAGCTGCGAAATTGAGTCATGGAGGTCGGGTCTCCACACGCCGCCCCCCATGTGCCTCCGCCCTTGCATACAACTATATATATTTGTACGTATAATTCTAATAGCATACGAGATCTACTACGTTAAAAAAAATATATACTCCATTCCCGTTTCATAATAATTGCAACACTTTGACCGGCACACATGCCGATGCACAACTTTGACCATTAATAATTGTAAACAAGTAATATTAAGAAGTATAAAAACATGATTTAATGAAAATATATATAAAAAATAATTCAAAGATAACACAACAATATATGTTTTTCGGCAAATTTTGTGTGTGGCAGCTAACGCACGAGTAACCCCTAACTAGGTAACCCTTGACTAACCGAGTAACCCCTGGCTAAGTAACCCCGGCCGTGACTAGGGGTGAGCATGAGACGGGTACCCATACCGTTAGTACTAATGGTTCGGGTAACCAATAACCGATAACCAATATCACTAGAACTGATATCCATAAACCGAACCGATAAGTTGGGTACCCGGATTTCGGGTACCCGAATTTCGGATCGGTTATCGGGTACCCAATAAGATATCCGTCCAATAATGATAATTAAACTTAATAATGTAGTTATTATGATATCATTTAACACTAACTAACAACAATACCACATGATCTTGACCAAATTATTAATAATATTACTAATCATTGATATTATGAAGTAATGTAAGAGTTTAGATTTTGGAAAAATAGATTTAAGTACAAAAAAAAATTAAAAAATTGCTTATCGAATCGGATCAGGTAACCGTTAATTTTAAAATGATACCCAATAACCATATCCAATAACAAATTATCGGAACGGGTACTCGAACTGTTATGGTTATCGGATCGAATATCTTAATTTTCGAAACGGTTACGATTCGGATTTTCGGGTAGTTTTGCTCGGCCCTACCCCTAACCGACTGTGTAATCCCTAACCAAGTAACTCCTGACCGACCGAGTACCCCTGACCAAGTAACACCTGACCGACCAAGTAACTCCTTTTCTTCATCTTCTTCTTCTTCAATGGATCTCCTTCGAAACTACTCCAATGGCATCGAAAAAGACAACGACGACGAACAACAACCCTAACTCCAACCCCACCAAACCAACCCAGAAACCCAACAAAATGACAAAGAAGACGAAGATGAAGAAGAAACCTCAATCATCTCTCTCCCATCAAAATCCCACCGTAGTTAGAACAAGCGATTTCTGCGATGATTTGGTCTCCAAACTCGAAATTAGGGTTAGGGTTTGGAATTGAGAAGGAGGATTTGGAGGAGAGAGAAGGAGTTGCAAAGGAGAAGAAAAAGACGATGAAGAAGAAATTGAGGAGTGAGAGAATGATGATGATGATTGGGGAAGATGAAGAAGAAGAATGGAGGTGTTTTCCTGCTGTTGTTGGATGTAGGAAGAAAGAAAGTGAGAAGGGGGAATACGGTAGTGAAGTCAGAAGTGGGAAAACAAAAAAAAAATGGAAGTTTGTCTATCTTTTTTATATATAATGATAAAAAAAATAAAGTTAAAGTACACATATAAATAATGCAAAAGTCAAAGTATTGTCGTTATTACGAAATAAAGGAAGTATATAAAAATAAAAAATAGTGTAAAATTTTAAAAAAAAATAACTGCGTGAATCTCCCCACCCACATGGAAAAGACCGTCACTGTCCTTATTACAACACTGAACACTCCCAAATCTCACCTCTCATCTCCTTCCATTTTAAAAGAGAGACACCATTCAAGATTCAACGCATAATTTCAGACAAACCCATTTCATTTCTCTCTCTTCTTACCACCATCTCTCTCATTTTCTCTCTCTAAAAAATGGGTTTCCAAGGAAACGATTCATCCGACACCAAACCCTTCAACTTCCTCATCTACGGTCGGACCGGTTGGATCGGTGGTTTACTCGGCAAACTCTGCGATTCCCAAGGCATTTCCTACACTTACGGTTCAGGCCGTTTGGAAAACCGGTCTTCCTTGGAGGCTGACGTGGCAGCTGTCAAACCCACCCACGTGTTCAACGCTGCCGGAGTAACCGGTCGTCCTAACGTTGACTGGTGTGAGTCCCATAAAGTTGAGACTATTCGTGCCAACGTTGTTGGGACTCTTACTTTGGCTGATGTTTGTCGGCAAAACGGCCTCGTTTTGATCAATTATGCAACTGGGTGTATTTTTGAGTATGATGATAAACATCCTATTGATTCTGGGATTGGGTTTAAGGAAGAGGATACTCCTAATTTTATTGGAAGTTTTTATTCTAAGACCAAAGCTATGGTATGTTTCTTTTTTATTTGATTTTACCCCCTTTTTGTTTAATTTGATTTGAATTATATGATTGGGAATTGAATAAGTTGTGTTTGTTGTAATGTGATTTGGTGTTGTTTTGGATTTGAGATCCTATGTTGTTGATGATGGATCTTTGATGTTTTGCGTGTCAGTCGGTTTAATCTATGCTACTCGGACTCTTCATTTCACGTCAAGTACCCATGTTGGATTTGGACATGGGTGTGTACATTTCATATTTTAGTTGACTCTGACACTTGGACAAATGATGTCATATGGGTATTGATTTGATATAGGTGTTACATTGTGTTACATTATTGAGTCTGGATTGACCTTTGAATAATGTGCTTCATTGTTGATTTGAATTGTACTAGGATGTCAGATTACTGATCTAATAAAGAGGATCACAATTGAGCTTGGATGCACATTTTTTGTACTGTATTATGTGACATGGGGATTGAGATGGGAGTTGAATTAAGTATTTTTATGGATCTTGTGTTGAGTTTATGTGTGAGTCATTGAGTCCCACATTATAAGAAACATGATCAACTGCTAAAAATATGAACTTTGTGGGCTACGGATCCCATTCTTGGTTGTTTGTGAATCTTATGATAGGAATATCACTTTGGTTAGCTCCACGTCCGGTTTCCCTTGATATAGCAATGCGGATTTTTCAACAAGATCTAGATCACTCCATATAGTCAAGGAGATGGTGAAGTTTTAATTGGATCTGGTGTTTTGATGTCATTCTTAGCTTTGTTTGGTCGTATATGTGATGTAGAATGTGAGGAAATATGTCTGATGTTTAAGTTATTATTGGGTTCTAAGCTAGGGGTTGTAACCACTATTATATCTATGAGCTTTTGTGGCAACGACTTTCTCTATCAAGTATCTTATCCTGTATTAGCTTAGAATCTAGACTTAACTAAGAGTCTTTGTGGTGGTTGCTTACTTTATCTAGTATCCTAGGATTCGGTCTTGCAGTACCCTTTTGTCATACCATGACAAATTTGTCCTGCAATGTGTATGTTTTGGCCTTTTTTTGGTTTCATAGTTTCCATTCATCTTTAGTGCCATAAACAGAAAACTCTGCAAATTTCCCCACATTCTCAATCAAAATTCATATACATGTTTTCATTCCTAGTATGTAATGACAATTATTTTGTTCACTGATGCTATGTATAGACTATAAGTTGCGTGCCGTCAGGAGAATATTAAGAAAATAGCTGAGTACGTAAGAGGTTTAGACGCCATATAGCCAATATTTTATTTAGTATGGTAAATTTGCATCCCAAGAGACAATGATAAGGACTGCCTATGATAGGGATCTAAAGTAAGCAAAAGGAGAATGCAATTAGTCAAGTGAATAGATACATAAACATGGGACACAATTTTTTTGGTGAACTCATAATACTTTCTTTCTTCTCATACTTGTGTTGTACAGTAGTTGTTATATCCCTTTTTATTAACCCCCCACCCTTCCTCTCTTATTTGATGTTGTCACTTTTGAGGCTGAAGATTGACCATGAATTTCATCTCTTTGGATATATTAGTACAGAGTATATAAATAAATAATTTTAAGCTATGCAATTGGATTTGTAGTAAAAGTATGTTCATTTTTTATAAAATAAAGTTTTTATCAGTATATTATGACAGATTCAGGGTGGAATTTCAACCTTAAAAACAACACCAAATTAAGATAAAAGGGAGGATCTTTGTTTGTTACTGGTTTTTAAAGTGTCCTGAATGTCTGTGTTGAGTTCTATTGAACATATTCTGATGAGCTGACTGGTCATATGTTTGGCATAAACTCATAATTCACATATACCGTCTTTTGTTCGGACTACTCTTCAGTTATCGCATAATATTGATTATTAACCTCTACTGATGCAAGTGCACTTGTTATGGATTGTCTAGGTTGAGGATTTACTTCAGAATTACGAGAATGTATGCACATTGAGGGTGCGCATGCCAATCTCCTCTGATTTATCCAACCCCCGCAATTTCATAACCAAGATTGCCAGGTATGAGAAGGTGGTCAACATTCCCAACTCAATGACAATCTTGGATGAGCTGCTTCCCATCTCCATTGAGATGGCAAAGAGAAACCTCACAGGAATCTACAACTTCACAAACCCTGGTGTTGTTAGCCATAACGAAATTTTAGAGATGTACAGGGATTACATTGACCCCAAATTCACATGGAAAAACTTTACCCTTGAGGAGCAAGCTAAGGTGATCGTTGCTCCAAGAAGCAACAACGAGCTTGAGACCACCAAACTGAAGACAGAATTTCCTGAGCTTCTACCCATCAAGGAGTCTCTCATAAAGTATGTGTTCGAGCCAAACAAGAAAACAGCTGAAGTTGCAGCTTGATAATAGTCTGTCTAGGTCAGAACTTTTACTTCCACTCTCTAAATTGCTATTATTTGGACTGAGTTGGATTGGGTTTTGCATACTTTCTTCAATTTAGGCATCATTGTTATTGAAATTTACGAGTAATTGTTGCCATTATGTACTATGTCTATTTGTATTCTTTCTTCTCAAGCACAAAAGGAAAGGAGTGATGTTTTGTATTTGTAACAATTGGATTTTGAATAAATTAGTTGAGGCTGAGATTTGTGCCATAATTACATTTCAATATATGCTGATTGTTCGTTCGACTTATCCCATATTCTGCTTAATTTATTCTACTCTATGGTTTTGTACTTTTTGATCTCTCTCTCATGTTCTAGAAAAATAATTCGTACCTTAGTAATATAACGGAAGTTTGAGTGTTTGTTTCATTGAACATGGCAAATAATATTGCCTAGGAAGAAGTTTCTTGTAGTTTCAATATCTATGACTTGCTAATAGTTTGGTTGAGCATAAGAACTTTTACTTTTCATGGGAAGTTTCACTTATCCAAAGGGCCTAGTTAACTAATAACTTGTTCCATATTGATTATTGTCGGAAGACATCGTAAACAGAAACTCAAGTAGCGAAAATAATTCCTTATGTTTAAGATGAAACCATCGAGTTGAAAGGAAGCCCTGTCATCGTTGATTTCTTATTCGCGCTCAAGCTTTCAAGATCAAGGGCTAAGCGGCTAAGCCTAATATGGCTTTGTCTACCAGTTTATGAAGCCCAGATACGGTATGGATTCCATTAGAAAGTTCAGAGGATTATGTTCTTTTTTCAGCAAACTGTCTTGCACGAAATTCGACAAATGTAGATCTCTTTGCAGAATTTTTTTCCAAAAACCAATCTTTCGTCAGCATCATGAATACTATTATATCCAAGGTTACACTTCTCCATGCACCATCTGTGTTGAAACCATGTTGAAAGTTAACAATTGAATCCCTAGTCTGAAGACTGAACTGTCTTAAAACCAAAGAGATGCCTAGTTAGTGAATGGAAGAAGGCAATGTTCACAAATCCAGTTTGTTTTCTTGTACACCACCTTAGCCGGATGTATTCATGTCTGCCCCTGCCTCAGCATGCTATGACTGCCGATCTTGTAGTTTATACTATTGCAGAGGCTTTTGCTTAGGAACCCCAATACTTCTTACTACGAATACTCTCACTTGGAACCAAAAAGCATAAACTAGCTAGGCTGAATATCGAGCCCATATCAGCAGGTTTGAATATCAAGCTAAAGGCTTTTTCACCAGCAGAAGCGAAGCTAATGGCAACTTTTGAAGGTCTGCTTACGCGTGGCTACAGATCACAACTTTGCGAAGTTGGAGATTACACTGAAGTCCGTGTTAGAAAAACCTGAACTGATGCAGAGCCTTGAGCTACAGATCATCATTGCAGCTATATATGCAAGCTACTACGGGGAGATTGGTACCGGCTTTCAAGTACACTAACAGAGAAGCAATTTAGCTGGCTCGTGTCATGTCTGAGGCTCCAAGCATCCTAGCTGCTAGCAAAGACTCCAAAGAGGCATGAAGATTTCCACAAAGACTCCATCTTGGGCCTGGGGCGTGTATGAGATTGATCTTCTTCTTTGACTCTTCTTCTTGGGGGCGCCCCCATTGATCTTTATGATCAATGGAGTAAAGCAATCTTTATGGCAAAGATGTAAATATTTTGAACAGTAAATGGCCACATATTATTTTGCGTCATTGTGGGCAATTACTCAGCAAATGAGTCATCTAACAGCCGTTATCTCTCATGCAATACCGTCAAGTTGCAATTCTGGGAAATTTGGCTTGTTTTGAGCCACATATGATGTTCATCTTGGTTGTGTAAAGTCAAAAATCCATACTCTTTCATCCATTGTTTACGTTGTTCATCTTGTATGAGTAAATTCAAAAATCCATACTCTTTCATCCATTGTTTTTGATGTTCATCTTTTACGGCAAGCGAAATCGCCTCGATTGTTAAGTGCCATTGTTTTCGGCATATGAGCAATTGGATTGTTGGGTAAGTCGAACACCAACTATATAATTCAATTTTATTTAGCATCATTGCATTGTGGTTTTTGTTTTTCATCACATTTATGGATTATTATCTTATTTGATTACTACGGAGTATTGTAGTGTGTCGATGGTTGTAGTAGATGTTGGTGTGAAGTATTCGAATGAGTATGTAATCAATTGTGATAATACTAGTTCGATTAGTTGGACATTGATAGGATTTGGTTTTGTTTCTAGTTGTGTATGTGTTAGAATTGTAAATCCTACAAACTAGCCATGGAGAACTGCAATGATTCGCCCCCCATAGTTGGTGGGTACAATGGTAGTGTTTTGCAAGATAAGGGGGGCGGTGTTAGGTGCAGAGAGGAGCCTTGTCTGGAAGATGATGCAAATCGGGTTAGGGATGTCGGAGATGAAATTCTACCTTATGTAGAAGGGGATATCCCTCCATCTACATTATTTGTATCACCAAGGCCAAATGATGTAGCCCATAAGTCCTTCATCAAAACAGTGGAGACGGTTGAAACCACTGTGGCCAGTAATCATATTAGTATAGTCACATATGTCGAGCCTCCTGGTGTTGGAATGGTGTTTAAAAAATAGCAAGATATGAAAGCTTATTACAAAGAATATGCAGAACAACTACCAAATATTTCGGTTTTGGACGAATAATTTTTTTGGTTTATGAATTGCAAATACATTGTGTAATTATTAAATCGGTTATTTTTATTTAATTAATTATGTAAAATTAACAAACTGCATTACAAATAGTTGATATTAACACAAAAATTTGGACAAACGGGACATTCTATACAAAATTGGGATCAAAAATTAAACATTCAACATTAAAAATGGGTAGTTGGACTTTTGCATGACCAATAAATGCAACAAAAAGTTATAAAATAAAAAAAAAAACAGTAAATTGTGCCATAAATGCACAATTTCATGCAAAACTAACGGCAACAATTTTCCGTAACTCCCATTGCCAGCATCAACATGCAGGTCATATGCACAAGTGGCGAAAAAGCTGATTCACACTATGGGTTATTACCATATTGTCCCTGGTTTAATGATGAAAAAGTCTATTATACCCCTATGATTGACAAACTAAATTGATCATGAAGATCAACAAGTATTTTGCCTTCTTAGAAGTGAAGCCGAGTTTGGTTGTGAAAGGAGGCCACACTATTATGTATAAAAGTTTAAACTTCTTTGTACAGATTTATCCTAATTTTTATGGTCCAATTCAGCCTTTTAGGAAGGCCTAGCCTACTTAACCTTAATGAAGTCTCATCACCAACTTTTCCTAAGGCTTTTGTTAAGCTAAGGGTGATAATTGAACTGTAATTGATGATCAAAATTTGCTTGATATTGATATTTATGAGATTGTCAACTTAGATTACTAGCTATTAGCCAATTATATTGAACCTAAAAGATTCAACTCTGCTTCTTATGTAAGTGAGCAATCCTAAGCTAAAGCTCATTATCACCCCTTGTTGATGTTAGTTTCTCCTAGGTGATCCAATCTTTATTTTGTAGCGCGTAGTATTTATTTTTAGTGAAATTTAGCTTTTGGACCCCTAGTTTTTTTGCTACTCATTTTTCTCTCGGCTAATTTAGTGCTTAATTAATTTATATGAAACGAAGGGAAGTTACTCTGCCATAAGATATTAAGATTCATAGGAATCTTTTTCACGTGTTTTAATGACATATATGAAGCATTAATCTAAGACTTTCCATGAATTTTAATTAACGAAGGTGAAGTTTGCTAACTTATCTTTCATGAACTCACTTACTTTGTAATTACATGTTTGAATCAGCTAAACAACTATCCAAACTTACAATACTCATGCAGTCAGGCAACCAGACAAACAATGAGTATCGTATACTGTTGTTTTCTTTCATGGAAACATATATTTCACCTTAGCACCTACTCTATATTCTATAAACTTTACTGAAGTCTGGAAATATTGGAGTCTACTCATTGGGTCAGTGTCACACATTATTCACACTTACCAGATTTGATAACTTGACCAACCAACCCCACTTTAAACATGAAAATTATGGACCCCCAATTATTATATTCGACAACTAGCCAGACACATGACCAAAATCCATTGCCTTTTCACGTGGGTATCTATATGAATCTAAAATCTCAATTCTCAATTATTTATCTTCAAACCCTTTTGGATTGTAGTCTTCTAGGAGGACTCGTATTCCATGTTAGCTAGCTTAAAGACGACGAAATTATGAGTTAAGAACATTCATAATGGTATAAAATAAGTCCTTAAGCTAGTAATTTACCATTGTGTAATTTTTAAATAGTAATTTACCATTGTGAAGCTACAAGAGCTGTAACTTTGATTAAACTATGTAGCTACTAGCTACCCTTATTCTACTCTCGTAATTTCACCTCCCTTTAGCTAGCAAAAGATCTAAAAGTACGAGTAGTTATTTAACCTCACTCTTTTGTACAACTTTATAAATCAATCATTTTGTGGTACCAATCTCCTCAGGCTAAGGCATCTAATGATCTGGTCCTGTGCCGTGGGCATGTATGTCAAAATGTCCCTTTATACTAAAACAAATAAATTAATACATATAAAAAAAAATTAAATTAAATAAATAATTTTTATAAGAAAATAAGAAGAAAAAAAAAACCCCAAAAGATCCAATGAATAAATAATGACAGCTTCTCAACTATTTTATTTTCTTAAACTGTCTACCAAACATACAATACATTTTCTAGTTTGAAACAATATTAACTCTAAATAAATTAGCTTGAAAAAAGAAACACAATAAAAGCTCACACTACTAGAATGAATAATATTAAAATGTAAGAAAAGGATGCAACATTTTGCATGATCAAACAATATTTCTAACCATTTCAACTGATTTTATAACAGCATAGTATCCACCCAATGCTGCAAACATCCAAAAAGACTCTCGCTCTTCAGAGTTGCATCAATTCCGGGCGGGTAACTACCCTCAGGCATCAGTGACCATTGGTAACTGAACCATTTTCTTGTGCGACGTTAGAATCATTTGCTGGTTTCTTGGCATAGAATCTTCGATACATAGAGTCTACCTCGGTTAAGTAGTAAGTACCTGGAGCCAAAAGGGTGGTATCCTTACTCGTCACAAATTCCTTTGCTCCGTACCTGTGCTCCATAAGCTTCAAGGTTTCGACAAATTTCTCAGGTGGGAACTGCAGACGTATAATACAAGTCAGATATAAAGTCAAGATCAAATTTATATGATTAA